GAATGAAAGGTGATAAGAGATGCATTCTCATTGTATATGTTGATGATATAATTGTCACAGGTGACTATGAGCAAGAGGTAGATAGAGAAAAGAAGGCTCTTGGAAAGGAATTTGAAGTGAAGGATCTTGGTAACTTGAAACTCCGCCTATGTTTATAGCCGGTCCCAAGCCCGGGTAAAGGAGGAGGGTTGTGTTAGGCCATCAACAGCCAATGTAAAAATTTGTTGAATCTATCATGAACATGGACAATAGACGTTATAATGTTAATGCTAGGTCGTTGCCCGTAAGTAACGCGCTGCATGGCTCGAGTACAGTGATAAGTGAGTTAGAGCCGCTGCATCGGCGCCCGGATGTAGTGTTAAATGAGCAAGGGCTACCGCGTCATTCTGGACGCACGCGGCTAAAGAAGTTAGTCCATAAGAGCAAAATTAGATTTGGTACTTGGAATGTTGGGACATTAAATTGTAAATCTGTAGAGGTTGTAGGGGTTATGATTCAAAGGAAAATCAATATCATTTGCTTGCAAGAAACAAAATGGCGTGGAGAAGAAGCTAAGGATATTCAAGGTTTCAAACTTTGGTATACAGGAAAAGTAAGTGCACGCAATGGAGTAGGCATCATTATAGATAAGGAGTAGAAGAAGAACGTTGTAGCAGTTAGCAGAATTGGAGATAGAATTATTTCTTTAAAAATGATAATTGGACGTGAGACTGTTAATATTATTAGCGCTTATGCGCCGCAAGTCGGGACAGAAGCCAGTCTTAAGGAATTATTTTGGGAGGATCTAGAGGGGTTGATTCGACACATACCACAGAGTGAAAAGATTTTTATTGGAGGAGACTTTAATGGGCATGTCGGGAGGGAAGCTGGTCAGTATGCGAGGGTGCATGGTGGTTTTGGTTTTGGAGAGCTAAACAATGAAGGACAAACTCTTCTTGATTTCTCATTGGCGTATGATTTTAAGATTGCCAACACTTGTTTCAAGAAGAGAGATGAGCATCTCATCACTTACAAAAGTGGAGCCTCAAGGTCGCAGATTGATTTTCTTTTGGTTAGGAACACAGATAGAAAACTTTGTAAAAATTGTAAGGTGATACCCGGAGATGCTGTAACGACACAACATAGGGTCCTAGTCCTTGATGTGTGTATTATGAGTAAAATCCAAAAACGTCGACAAGTAGTAACACCAAGGATTAGATGGTGGCAATTAAAAGGTGAGAAGCAAGATATTTTCAAGCGAAATCTTTTGGATAAAGGAATTTGGGATTCTCAGGGAAGTGCTAACATTATATGGGAGGATATGGCTAAAAAGATACGGGAGGTTGCAAAAGTAGTTTTGGGAGAATCGAAAGGTTCTGGTCCGAGAGATAAGGAGTCTTGGTGGTGGAATAATAGTGTACAGGACAAAATCAAGTATAAGAAGAACTGTTTTAAAGCCATACATTTGTGTAACAATGAGGAAAATTGGGAGAGGTACCGTATGGCTAAGAAGGAAACTAAGAGAGCTGTGGGTGAAGCTCGTTCTAAAGCTTTTGAAGAATTTTATAAGAACCTTGAGACGAAGGAAGGAGAGCAAAATATTTATAAGATTGCCAAGAGTAGGGAAAGAAAATCAAGAGATCTAGAACAGGTAAGGTGTATTAAGGATGAAGAGGGAAGAATTTTAGTTACAGATGATGAAATTAAAAATAGATGGGAGACTTATTTTTCTAAACTTTTCAATGATGGAGAGGATTCATCTAGTAACTTGGAGGATTTAGTAACTGGTGAAGGAGAACAAAATTTGTCATTCTATCGAAAAATACGTGATAAGGAGGTAAAGGAAGCTCTTAAGAAAATGGCAAATGGTAGAGCCAACGGACCTGATTGTATATCTATCGAAGCGTGGAAATGTTTAGGTGAAGAAGGGGTGAGATGGTTAACTAAGTTATTTAATGTGATTTTACGGTCCAAGAAAATGCCTGATGAGTGGAGGAGAAGTACATTAATTCCTATTTATAAAAATAAAGGAGATATTCAGAATTGTACTAACTATAGAGGGATTAAACTCATGAGCCACACAATGAAATTGTGGGAGAAAGTAATTGAGCACAGGTTGAGATTGGAGACAAGTATTTCTGAGAATCAATTTGGTTTTATGCCAGGTAGATCAACTACAGAGGCGATTTATCTACTAAGGGGATTAATGGAAAAGTATCGTTGTAAAGATAAAGATCTACACATGGTTTTTATTGATTTGGAAAAAGCTTATGACCGTATACCAAGAGAAGTGCTTTGGAAAGCGTTGGAAAAAAAGGGAGTACGGATTGCTTATATTAAAGCCATACAAGATATGTATGAGGGGGTAAAAACTAGTATAAGAACGCCTAGTGGTCAAACAAAGGATTTTCCTATAAAGATTGGACTACATCAGGGATCATCTCTGAGTCCTTATTTGTTTAACTTGATTTTAAATGTTTTGACGGAACATATTCAAGAGGAAATCCCGAAATGTATGCTCTTCGCGGATGATATAGTTCTTATAGCAGAGACAAGAGAAGAGGTTAATTGCAAACTTGAGTTATGGAGGAGGACATTGGAGTCGAAAGGTTTTCGTCTGAGTAGAAGTAAGACGGAATATTTATATTGTAAATTTGGTAAAGGACTATTCGAAAATAATTTGGAAGTGAAATTGGGAGATCAAATTATACCTCAAGTGGAAAAGTTTAGATATTTGGGAGCCATTATTCAAAATGATGGCGAAATCAGTGGAGATATTTCACATAGAATTCAAGCTGGGTGGTTTAATTGGAGAAAAGCTAAAGGAGTTATTTGTGACCGTAAGGTGCCTAATAAACTTAAAGGAAAGTTTTATCGTACTGCTATCAGACCGGCAATGTTATATAGTAGTGAATGCTGGGCTCTAACGGGACAGCAAGAGCATAAAGTTGGAGTAGCAGAGATGAGAATGTTACGATGGATGTGCGGACATACACGTAAAGATAAAATTCGAAATGAGCACATACGCGAAAAAGTGAGGGTGGCACCTATTGAGGAAAAAATGGTAGAAAATCGGTTGAGATGGTTTGGGCATGTACAAAGAAGACCAAGGGAGGCACCAGTGAGAAGAGTGGAACATATAACTTTGAGTCCGATTAAGAGAGGTAGAGGAAGGCCTAAGAGAACACTCTTGGAAGTTGTTGAACGTGATCTCTTAATTAATAATATTTCTAAAAGCTTAATAAATGATAGAGCACAATGGCGTCTTGCAATCCATGTAGCCGACCCCACCTAGTGGGATAAAGGCTTGTTGTTGTTGTTGTTGATCTTGGTAACTTGAAATACTTTCTGGGAATGGAGGTTCCAAGATCATAGAAAGGGACTTATGTGTCCCAAAGAAAATATATTCTCGATTTGCTTATTGAGACAGAAATGTTGGGATGTAAACCTGTACAGACACCTATTGTTGTGAAGAGGAAGGGGAAGAAACTGAAGAAAGATATGGAAAATGAAGAAGATGAAGTTGAATCTGAGGAGGATGATTGTGAAGAAGAAGAAGAGAACAATGAACCCATGGAGAAAGAAAGATACCAGAAACTGAAGAAAGATATGGAAAATGAAGAAGATGAAGTTGAATCTGAGGAGGATGATTGTGAAGAAGAGAAGAATGAACCCGCGGAGAAAGAAAGATACCAGAAGCTAGTTAAGAAACTGATTTATCTCTCTCATACTCAACCAGACATAGCTTTTGCAGTAAGTGTTGCAAGCCAATATATGTGTGACCCTAGAGAAAGGCATATGGAAGCTGCATACAGAATCCTAAGGTACTTGAAGGGGACACCAAGTAAAGGATTATTGTTCAAGAAGCAAAACCTATGATCAATAGAAATTTACACAGATGCAAATTGGGGAGGAGCATCCAAGGATAAGAGATCAACGTCAGGCAATTGCTTATTTGTATGAGGAAATCTAGTTTCATGAAAGAGTCAAAAGCAAAGAGTGTTCTTAGGAGTAGTGCAGAATCAGAACTAAGGGTGTTGGCTCAAGGTATATCAAAGGTACTATGGGTAAGGCGAGTACTAGATGAGATCTACGAGAGGACTGATCCTCCACTGAAGTTGTGTTGTGATAAAAAAACTGCCATAAGTATGGCATTAAATCGAGTTCAACATGAAAGATCCAAACATGTGAAAATTGATAGACATTTTATAAGGGAAAAGGTTGAACAAGGAGTTGTGTGCCTTGTCTACATACCAACAAAGCTTCAAGCTGCTGACGTACTCACCAAAGGATTACACAAGCCAGCATTTGATAGTTGTATAAGCAAGTTGAACATGATTAGCATCTATGATCCAACTTGGGGAGTATGGTTGACAGTGTTTTATTATATTTAATGTAAATATTGTTTATATTAAAAAGGATACCGTGGGTAGTGAAAGTAGAGATTTTTTAGGTAATTTATTCCCGAATATCCTCTCCTGATTCAGTCTCCTTATTTCTTGGAGATTTGATTGTCTTCTCTCATGTATAAATCTGCGTACATACCTCAGGATCAAGGGACAAGAGTTTTCGACCTATTTGCTACACCAATTGACTAAACGGCCTCCATCTCATCTTCAGAGGTTAGTGAATGGTCGATCTCTCCCTCGCACTCTGATACCATGTGAGAAGAGAGACGATTTTTGGTGTAAAATACTATATTTTCAATCATTAAAGTGACTCACTATATATACAAGGGCGAACAGCTGCACAGAGAATATAATTGCTTGATCAAAGCCAATAAATCAGCAAATAATAATCAGCCAATTAAACCTAATTCTAACAGTCAAAAAGCGGGTAACCGGGGATTACAATCAAGTAGAAATCAGAGTGAAAAAGAGAGGCCATAATTATTGGGTTTTTCCACAGTTTCTTATCTTTATCCCATATAAGTCAGGATGCCATAGGAAAATGCTACTGCATGTCACGCACATCGACAGAAACTAAACAATATCACATAGACCTTGAAAGGAAATATTCACATGAAGTTAACCTGTAGAAGTAACTTCCATCCAAGTTCTTTCAACCATATGTTTTTGGATATTTGTAACATGGCACACATGGCAACATCAGCTGCACTACCCTGTGGCAATTTCACAAATCAGAAAACCATAAAGAAACTCACAGGGATGGGGTCACAAACTTATCTTTGGGTCCGGACCATTATTGGGGCATGAAACAAGTCATTTAAAAATCAGCTGTTAAACTACAAATGAAATTTGCTTGGACAAAACCATTTTTGGAGGTCATTTTTGAAGGAGGGGCAGCTCACTAAAAGACACAGTCCCTCCAAATTAATTTTTTATCACTTGCATTCTCTCTACACATTTCCTTAAATTATAATTATTATTGCTGCAATCAAATGAATAGCGACAGGCTTGTTGCCTTAGTCCCTTGCTAATTTTCACCTTTCTAACCAAGTTGAATAAGAAAATCAGAGCTACTTTACTCTGAAAATTTACATAAGAAATTCAAGAGGTTGCCTGCTCATGATAGAAAAATGAATTCAAAACATTGTATAGCTCAAATAAGAGACAAAAGAGGGTAAATGCATTATAATATTAGAATGAAAGACCTGCACTGGAGTATTAATAGCTGCTCGCTCAATGTGACTTTTTTGAGATGATGTAGCCTTAGCCATCAAAGGGAACTGCCGGGCTCGCCCTAGCAATGTGTATACGCAATAATGCTCACAAGCTTCTTTTTTACGCTGCTCTTGCCATACCAATACTTCTTTTCTGTCATTGTACCAGAGGTTAACTGTTTCCCTAGCTTCTTTCACGGAAACCTGAGAAAACATATCCATTAACTTGCTTGCACAATTAAAAAATATCTTTCATCAGCAGCAAAATTCCTAATACCTTCCAATCCCTGGCTAGGCCCATGGGAGTTTTTCCATAGGCAATTGAAAAGTTAAGCATTTTGGCTTTCCTTCTTTCAGACGCAAATGCATCCTGAAATGACAAGAATAAAAATCTTCAATAGAAATCATATTGCAAGTTTAACTTAACAAATATGATTGGAATACTTCACATCAACTTGACTTTAATTATCTGTTCAATGCATGTGTTCTCCAATGCTATTACTATGAGAAAAACCACATGGATACATTAATTGTACAAAAAGGCAGAACATAAAATTAAACCACTAAAACATGGGAAAAGCAAGCATATATAGCTTAGTAACTTATCTCGCTCCCGTATATCAATGAAAGCACTTTAGAACATAAGATATCCTGTTACTCAAGAGAATTATTATACTTATCTAGGAAGCACATCAAATAATAACTACAGTCTGAGTGCCTTTCAAAGATGAGATACTACTTTCCGCTTTAGACAATATCCTAAATACCTAAGGACCAGTTGTTGTCCTCCACTTCTACAAGGAAGTTCAAAAATCAAGAATTGTGGGGTCTTTATTCTAATTATCATAGTGGAATTCTTATTTTTTTCCCTGATTATTTTTGGTTTATTTCTTGTAACTTTTTTCTGAATGCTTATCCTATCCCTCGTCTCTGTTGGCCAAGTATCAGAAGGTTGATTTTCTCTTTCTTGCTTCTACACCTATACATAGTTGGGGCCTGTATCTGAATATATTTACAAGATAATGCACTCAATTTTACTTCTCAGCCTTTCCACATAGATTCTTCTCAGCATTTTTCTTTTGCCCCCTTTTTTTTTCATGGTATTAGAATTGTGATCCCTTCCAACCCAAAGTCCTCTCCAATCCTTTTCAAAGTTGTCCAAGAAAGTTGCTTCTCATTTCATCCTGTTAAAACCTAAAAGCCCAGGCACAAAGCTATGTTTTCTCCTCTAGTCTACCACTGCTGAATATAATGTCTTTTTTTCTTTTTGTCATAATTTTAATTCCAACGATCTTCTCATCTCGTATGTTAGTAAGTTTTTATCCCTGATTTCCAGGGATTTATTTATTTTTCTATTCTTCCTAAGCTCCCTGCTTGCAGTCAAGTCAACAAGACTCATTTGAGTAGATCAATAAAATAAATCAGAGGATTCCAACACTACTTGTTACATGGTATCAGAGCTCCAGGGTTTTTGATAAACCTTAGGGTTCCCTCCGTTGTTGCAAACGACAGGATCAATCTCGGGCAGCGCAGGCACTTCCCTGTCTGCATTGATGACTGGGACAAAACCACAAACGCAGCTGAGAAATCCTTGAAACACCATACCTGTCATATCTTCAATGACGGTTTCAAAAATTGGTGCCACAAATGAGATGCAGCAGATGGTTATTGCTCATTAACTGAATGGGAGCAATTATCTCTAGTGGTCACAATGCGTGCTGATGTACTTGAGAGGAAGACGCAATGAAAAGTACTGAGTGGCCACACTAGAGAGGTGTGCCGGAAAATTCATGAGAAGCCTCCTAATTTCAAATAGAAGCACCAACAAAAGAGGAAAGGTTACTTCACTTCATCTGAGGACAAGGAAGAGGACAGTGAAAAACTTAGCAAAGAAGAACATCAGCTGCTATGTTACATACTTGAAAGGCAAAATAATTTAGATTCTCTTGCCAAGGCAAACCTATGCAGTCAGGTAACTCCATCATTGCCTTAAATGTCATGGTGACTACTAATGAAACTTCGATTGTTGGCTCAGGAGCTACCAATTACTTGACTAATAACAAATATTTGTTAAAATCTCCTAAATATTGCCATTAAGATCTTAAGTGGCAAATGAAATCTATACAAGGGAACCACCAAGTTGTCTGAGCATCTTGAAATAACGAATATCTTGTTTGTCCCAGAACTTAAATGTAATCTATTGTCTGTGACTAGAGTGACAAAAGGTCAAAAGTGTCGACTGATATTTGATGATGTTGGGTGTATTTTTCAAGATTTGACATTGGGAAGGATGATTGGCAATGCTAAAGAGTAGGATGGATTCTATTACTTTGAAGGGGTGAGCATGAAGAACCAAGGAGTTAGACAAGCTCTACTTAGTTCTGGATCACTGAATAAAGATGTAATGTTGTGGCACTATAGAGTAGGCCACCCCAGTTTCAGTTATATGAAGCATTTATTTCCAACTTTCTTCAATAAAAATTATATTCCCTTTCACCATGGAACTTGCCAATTTCCTATACAAACAAGGTCCTCATACCCAACAAAACCCTATAAGCCTACTGCAACCTTCACATTAATCCATAGTGATATTGGAGATCCAGCAAGAATTAAGACCCTCTCAAATGCAAGGTGGTTTGTTACTTTCATTGATGATCATAACCAGGTTATATGGATATATTTGATGAAAGAGAAGTCTGTAGCTTTGCAAATTTTCAAAAAATGTTGCAATTCTGTGAAGACTCAATTCCAATCCACCATTAAGGTCCTAAGGAGCGACAATGCCAAGGAATATATGAGTGAATCATTGAGGGATTCCTAGAACAGAATGGGATTCATCATCAAACATCATGTGTTTTACACCCCTCAACAAAAAGGAGTAGTTGAACGAAAGAATAGGCACATTCTAGAAGTTACACGAGCTATCATGATAGAAAGAAATGTCCCAAACCTTTTTTGGGGAGATGCTGTTTGAAACTCTACCTACATAATTAATAGGATGCCCTCTGAAATCCTCAATTTTAGTACTCCCATCCAAAAACTTCTTGAAACCTACCCAAACTCTTCCCTGATCAATACTATGCCTCAAAAGGCTTTTGGATGTGTGGTGTTTGTACATGAAGTTGATGGAGGAAAGCTAAGTGCAAGAGTTGCAAAGTGTCTTTTTCTAAGCTACTCCTACTCAAAAAGAGTACAAATGTTATTGTCCAGCAACAAAATATGCAGTTGTCACAAGTGATGTCGTGTTCTATGAAGAAGATGCCTATTGCCCCAAATTACCCATCATAAGAGAGAATTATGGGGCAGAAGAATGGCTAATTTTGGGTCCTACCACTAGTGTAAACAGCCAAACTGAACCAGAGCAATCCATACTGCCCAAAAATACCCTTGACAGTCCCAAAAACCCACAAACCAGACTTGACTACCCAGAAACAGAATCATTTGATGATAAACTAATGAGTACCAGCGCTGAAAATATCCCTGAAAATCCAGAAGACAAGACTGAAAATTGAAATTGATACAGGGGTAGTTCAACAAACTAGTATCAGATTCAATGAAGGGAATGTGCAAGAAGACAGGGAAGATAGACCCCCCCCTTTCCAAGGCACAACCGTGAGTCCAATCCAGTGTTGGATCCTGAAAAATTGGGCTGGCCAATTGCCGTCAAAAAAGGGGTAAGATTTTGTACCAACCATCCTATCTACAAGTTTGTTTCATATGGAAACTTGTCTCCTAGGATGCATGCTTCTGCAGCAAAAAGCTCACTTGTGAAAATACCAGTTACCTTCCAACAAGCATTTGCTGATCCTAATTGGAGAATGGCTATAAATGAAGAACTATGAGCCCTAAAGGAAAATAAACTTGGGAGTTCACAACTCTTCCAAAGGAAAAACAAAGGTGGGCTATAAATGGATCTTCACTCCCAAATCCAATCTAGATGGGAGCATAAATAAGTCCAAGGCAAATTGGTCACAAAAGGGTACACTCAAACATATGGGATTGACTAACAAGAAACATTTGCTGCAGTAGCAAAGTTCAATGCTATTAAAGTTCAGTTGCCTATAGCTGCTAGTTTGGACTGGCCATTGCATAAATTGAATGTTAAGAATGCATTCTTGAATTGAGATTTGAAGGATGACGTGTGCTTGGAAATCCTAGATGGAGTGCAGGGTCCAAACAACTCCACAAAGGCATGTAGACTCAAAGAAATCCTTGTATGGGTTAAAATAGTCTCCCAGGGCCTAGTTCGATGGATTTGCTAAAGCTGTGAGGAAGATGGGTTACTCTCAAGGGCAAGCTGATCACACACTGTTTACCAATCATGGCAATGGCAAAGTTATTGTTCTGATAGTGTATGTTGATGACATAGTCATAACAAGAAATGACGAGAAGTCTATAAGCAAGCTAAAGGCAACATTAGCAACTGAATTCCAAGCAAAATACCTTGGACAGATGAGGTATTTTCTAGGTGTGGAAGTAGCAAGAACCAAAAAAGGGATCAATGTGTCCCAACGAAAATACACCCTTGACTTATTGCAGTAGATAGGGATGCTTGGTGCAAGACCTAATGAAACACCTATGGAAGCCTCATGTAATATGGAGGTTAAACTAGATGATGCACTGGTAGAGGCCAAAAGGTACAGAAGACTTGTGGGAAAACTAATTTACTTGACTCATGCCTACCTAGATATTAGTTATTCAGTTGGAGTTGTGAGTCAATTCATGCATAAACCACAAGAGCACATGGAAGCTATCTACCGGAGATACTTATAGGTCAACCCTGAAAGTGGTATGTTTTTTGAGAAGGGTAGAGTGAGGAATATAGAAGTCTACAAACATGCAGACTATGATAGGTCTTTAGAAAACAAAAGACCTACCACTGAGCATTGCTCTTACGTGTGGGGGAATTTAGTCACTTCGAGAAGTAAAAAGCAATCTAGTCTTAAGAAGTAGTGCTAAGTCTGAACTCAGAGTAGTGGCACTTGGAATCTGCAAAGGTATATAGGTTACTAGATTGCTTAAGGAATTGAAGGTTCCATATGACGGTCCTATGAAGCTTTGGTGTGATAACAAGGCTAGCATCGAAATGACCAAGACTCCTATGTATCATGACAGAACAAAACATATTGAAATCAATAGATACTTCATCAAGAAGGAAGAGGAAGGAGGCCTCATTGATCTATCTTACATACACTTTGCTCATCAAATAGCTAATATCATGACAAAACCTCTTGTCATGCTCGAGCATGCAACATATAGATAGTTCATTATGGAATTCAAATCACATGACTATAAATGCTTAGTATTTGATGAATACCAGGCTTGCCATAATAATTAAAGAGTAGGTCTCTATCTACAGTATTGAAGATT